AGCTAAGATGACGCCACGGCACTCTAGCCCGGGCAACACAGTGAGACGCTGTCTCAAAAAAAAAAAAAAGAATGATTTATAAGCCATATGCCTATATAAGTATATATTAATATATGAATTTTATTGTGTACATTCCAGAATATCTTTTTTATAACCTTCCACTCATATTATTAACAAGAAAAATTCATAAAACTGTTTTGTTATTGATTTGTAAAAGTTTTAAAGGCTGTAATAAAGGAGACTACTTTGGCCAATATCAGAACAGAAATACAGTTTCCTTTTGTTTCAGTTGCTTTTTGGCGATATTTATCTATTGATTCTATTAAGGCAAATGAAACAAATAGAGATATTCCTATAAAATATGACATAAGTGTTGAATTTGCCATCCACAGTTTCAGAATTTACACTGAATGTTTTCTATGCTTAATAATTATTCCAGGACTTGCAGAGCACTAACCTAGTAGAAGTATGTATGGCACTTACTGTCGTCAGCCAGATTTTCCCTCGAGAAATGATTCCAGCTGTTCTTCCATTAATAGAAGATAAACTTCAACATTCTAAGTAAGTAAATTCTTTTGGGATAGATGTCTACATCATATACTTCAAAACAGAAATTTATACTAGAAAATTTATTATACTTTTAATTTAATGCTACCAGGATAGAGAATATTCTTCGACTGCCAGATATAATACAAAAATCCCCAGTAGGATCATCCTTATTTTTATATGGGTTTAGAAGAATGTTAGGCAGCTTTATAAAGTTAAATTAAGAGACAGTGAGGCTTAGTATCAGGAATCCTTGGCTTTCTTCCCAATTCTACCACTAATGAGCAGTGGTACTGTTTTTCTCTTGGGTATGTGGGGTTGGTTGAAGCTCCTTAGTTCTCACAAAGTTGTTTTGAGGATAAAGTGAAATAATGGAAAACGCATGGAAATGGTTCAAATGCTATGAATGCAAAGCTTCAGTATATTGGGAAGATGCTTTTTATATCAAAACCACAATGTTCAAATTCTTTTACAACAGAATATATCCAAATAAACTTTAACTTACGGTCTTTTGCTAATCTTCTCTTGTAAGATTCCTTAACTCTCTCCTTATTAGCTTGACTTACTTGATCACCATACTTAGAATTATTTTGTTTTTGACCAAGCCCCTTAACTTCATAATCTTTTTCCTTTGTGATGATAGTATTTCAGTTACACATACGTTCTTGATAAAGATTTTTTGTTACTTATACACCATTTCTTTATTTCATATGCTTCTTTAAGTCGGTATTTTTAATGTTCTGAGATTGTAAAATATTGTCTTACAGCTTGTATTCTTTAAGACATCTTTGACCACGAATCTTCCAGCTAAAATGATAGCATATATTGTAGAATATTTGTAGGTCTTTCAGACTTTTTATGTTTTGTATGTCAAATCTGTGTTTAGAACAAAGGATGGCTGTAGACAATTCATTGTTGGAAATAAAATATTAGCTTTTCTTAGGTATTTGTAGGTTGATCTGATTATAGCAGCAGAATATTTTTACGTAGTTTTTCCTTACCACCACTCTTGTGGTGACCATATTCAACCTTTGTGTGAAATCGTTCTGGGAATCGAAAGGACCCTTTTCGTTTTCTTCTTATTGCTTCTTGTTTAGTCTAATAGCAAAATCCTGGCTGGACTTTTTGAAACTTTGCTTCTGCAGTTATGGCCATACCCAACTCCATGCTGTGGAGTAAAGAGCTAAAGAATAATGGGTCAGCGCTACAGCTAAACCAGTAGATGTCATGGAAGATGTGAGATAAGACTGGGACTCAACTTTTGAATCCTTGGCTGTGTTTCAGCATACCAACCCTTAAGCCCAAATCCACGTGTCTTGATGTTTTGTGTTAGTACTACCACATAGTGCCAGGCCTGTGGATTCCTGAGCCTATTCAGAGTTTGTAGTTTTTTCCTCACCTCATTTACCTATTCTCCTCTGAAATTAATATTGGTTAATGCCCAATGGCAATACATTGGGATGTAGTTTGCAGTCACAGTAATATTAATACTAACAACAAATGCGTTGTTAATCTGCTTTGCTTTTTATGTGAAAAGAATTTTATGTCATGGCATAGCTTGCCTAGGAAGGTAGTGAATTGTTTATTTAATGGAATTTAGCAAAAGCTGAATGACTAGTTGTTAGGAATCTTACAAAAGGTATTCTTGAGTGGAACACAGAAGGATTGTATTGAATAATCTCAATCTTGAGATTCTATGATTTTAGATAACAAACACATGTTAAGGAACCCAAATGGTAAATACTTCACTTTTGTGATGTTTGCTGTTATTGTGAGCACTACCAGTATAGTCTGCAAATAGGAGATATGTAGAAATAGGCATAAGGGAGAACAATAAGGAATACACTTCCTTGGAAACTACCTTGTGAACATAGGATAGTTTCTTTACTTTTGCTTCTGTGTGGTAGACGTTATCTGCTATAAATGAAGTACAAGACTAATATATAGTTTTCCTCTTTATTATCATGGGGTTTTTGAAACATGAGCTGGGCAA